CTGGCCTCGAGGTCTTGAACTCAGGACATCCTCCTGCCTCAGCCTCCCAGTGCTGGGATTATAGGCGTGCACCACCGTGCCTGGCTTGCTTTGTTCCTTCTTACAAATAGTGTCTTCCCTTTTAAACCCTGTTCCTTTAATTTGTTACTGGTGCCGAGTTTAGATCCTAGCTGCCAGGGGGAGGGCAGTGCACACCCTCGGGTGTGACTTGGGTGCTGGGCAGGCCCTGTCACCCCTGCATGGCACAGTCCTGTCCTGTGTAAAACACAGAGCTATGGAAAGGGGGAGCAGGAGAGCGCCTGGGCAGCTCCACCTTGCCCTCCCCAGCATCCCCAGCTCAGAGGGGCAGCCAGGGGCCGAGGGTCTGGAAGGAGTCACAAGCAGTCTGAGAGGGGGAGGCTTGAAGGACGAAGAACCGAGACCCCACCCAAGCTGGCACCAACCAGCTCGGGGGCCTCAGTCCCCAGAGGCAGGCCCTCCTGTCTCAGCCAGGCCTTGAGAGGCACCTTTTCTCGACACCTGCAGCTGCCTTCACAACTACCCAGCTCTGCTGGGCATGGTGGCCCACACCTGTAATGCCAGCACACGGAGGCTGAAGCAGGAGGGTTGCTGTGAGCACGAGACCAGCTTGAACTGCATAGTGAGACCCTGTATTAAAAAAAAACAACAAAAAAAGAAAGTTCTTGCAGGGCATGGTGGCACACGTTTGTAATCCCAGCATTCAGGAGGCTGAGGCAGGAGGATTGTTTCGAGTTCAAGACCAGCTTGGGCTACAAAGTGAGCTCAAGGCCACCCTGAACTGCATAGCGAGACCCTGTCTCAAAAAGACCAAAAAAAAAAAAGGAATAAAGGAAGAAAGAAAGTTCTAGCCCAGGGCTGGGGATATAGCTCAGAACAGCAATGCCTGCCTGGCAAGTGTGAGGTCCCAGGTTCAATTCCTGGTACATCAAAACCAAAAGAAACAAAAAGAAAGTTCTAGCCCAGCCTGGACAATCTAGCAACACCCTGAATTAAAATAAAAATTAAAAGGGCTGGGGTTCACATTAGGATAATGGCCCTGGGTTCAGTTCCCAGTGCCACAGGAAAAAGAAAAAACCCACCCAGCTAGGCTCTGCTCCACAGCCCTGTGCAACAATGAGGCTTATCGTTGTCTCAATCCACAAAGCCTTGGGTGACTTCCTCAGTTCTCAGTGCCGATTCTAACAGGTTAACACCAAGCCCCGGGCTCCTCGAGGACATTCGTGCCCCGCGTTCCCCTGGCTCTACTGATTGGAGCCGGCGCACAGTCACAAATGTGCCGGGAGCGACGTCCCCTCCGCCTGGCCCAGCTGGAGCCGCCCCGTGCTCATCCGGGTCGAGGACACATCCTGCAAGCGGTGCCCCCACCTGTCTCCGACCCCCTCACATCCACCTGTAACTTCTCCAAGGTTATGAAAAACTTCAAATACACACAACACACCAGCAGGGGGAACAAATCCCAGAGACCCTGAACCCTTGTTCAAAAACTAATTGGAAAAAA